TAAAACGAATGCCAAGAAAAGCAAAATCACGGTATACAAACAGGAACTCAAACTGGCAGGAATTGATCGTCTATGAATCGGACAAAACATTATCATTCATTTGGATTCCTGATGAATTAAGCTCGAGATATACTTCTTGTTCTTGACTTTCTCTACATCACCGGACATGTTTTGAAGTTCGCGGCATTCGTTATAAACGGAGGTCAATTAACCAATCTTATATTCTGCTTTTTCCCAATCTATTTACAGTTACGTAATGATCTAACGCCTCGAAGTTTCTATAGAATTTACTAAATTTGAAAGGTTACACACCTCTTGACCTCCAGTCATTGTTTTACCCTTCAAAGGAAAAAGGTTTCAGCTGTTTTCTTGTTTGAACTTTAACCAGCCTGAATGGGTGGCAAACGACAGACTCTGGTGAGCACTGTTTGGCGACGTTTCCATTTACACAGTGTGAAGGCTCGGTGATACTTAATGAACTGTGAATAATATAATTTTTGGGCTCTTATGCACAGTTTTCCTATATCTGACTCGTGTTGTTTAAAGGGAATCGATGAAAAGAGGAAGGAAGGCCTGTGTACTCTTGGGGTCCATGTGATACTCCCACAACCTCTTCTCCCCCCTTTCCCCAGTCCATACCCCCTCCCCTCATGAGTAAGCCGTCAGTATCGTCAGTTTCCGGCGCGAGCACGACTGTGTTGGTCAGATGAGCCGCCAACCCACAGCCCGGGGCGGCCGGACCGTTACCTGCACATGGGAAACACGACGTCGAGTCTATTTCTGTCGTAATTATGTAGGGGCGTCCGGAGCATATGATTGCTTAGGAGGTTGTGTTTCCTATACATCCGCTACGGTTGTCTTGTTTAAGAAACGGAGTAGAGCTACCGCATTCCTATTCGAGCTATATTTATAGGTATTTTTTCGGTGATATAAATTTGAAGAATGGGGCCTTGATAAGAGGAGTAGCTGTAAATCGTCAGTTACCTCATTAGATAGTCTTGAACTACTTCTCGTGCCTTTTCGTATATAGATGCCATTAATTACTGTCTGCTGTAAATAGATAATGGATATTTTCACGAACCTCAACAAGTAACGTAAAGGCAACATCCATCACGTGAGCTAAACACTTGATTCCAGGTAATGGAGTGATTGCGTAGGTAAATTTTCTCTGTAGGTATAGCATAAATCTTCGATCACAGTTATTTATTTATTTTTGTATGCTACATAATAGGTTGTGTTCTGTAGCCTTGTATGATTTATCTTGAAAAAAAATTGTTACTCAACTCTGCAGTGGACGCACTGATTGGTTGAAATAAATATATTTTTAGCTGCCTCGCGTGAGAAGTGACATAAAGCGTTATCATCAAAGACAAGCAATCGATGAAGCTAATCCTGAAACAGATCCATTACACGATAGATTAGCAGGTGTGAAAAGACTTGGAAGCCCCGCGGTGATTGGCTAAGAGGCAAGAGTAGTGTTTGTGTGTAGCCAGTGAGCGGGGCGGTTACAGGTACGTACGCAGAGGGGGCGGGGCTTGTGAACATGTGCATTTGTGGACTACGATTTGGAGTCAACACATTATTCTTACTTGACCGAGTGAGTGAACTAGATCGTCGGAAACAGTGTGTTTGGCTTCAGTGTTGTGTGTGTGACTGAACGCGGAAGTTGTCAGAGAGAGACCATTCGTTTGTGAAACGTTGATGTCAATGTCCAATACTTATTAATCCTTATATCGAAAAAAAATGTGATTCATTACATTATCTGGAAAAACGACTAAAAGGTTTTCAAGAGGAATCTTCACAGTGGGACATTGTATACGAAGAAGAACCAAGGATATAAGATAAAATAGACATTTGTAGCAGTGCTTGACAGAGTAATCAAGTATTCGACCAAAACATACATGGAGATATTGATTTTTTTCTCTGGATAATCTCCTGGAAAACACTTTGGAATTCACAGCCACGACCATATTTACCCTGACTGATGTCAAGGTAGAGTTGGCAAAGGAAAATGAGGCAGAGCAGCAAGAGTGAGTGGCAGAGTTAGTGCGTCCCTGTGGGAGGTCACCAGATACCCAAGTGATACCCGACCCCTGTAGTACCTGGCAGGGCACGCGACACTCCACAGGGCCTGCACCCCCAAGGGACAGTTACAACATAGTGCCAACGCTTATGGTGCCAGCCGGCTTAACGCATTCAATGATGTAATAATATACTTAGGGTGGCGAATGCAATATCCATGCAATTTTCCTGGAGGAAAAGAATCACTTTTATGATCACATACATATACTAAACAAGCTTTGCCAGTTATCTATGAGAACATTCAGAGAAGGAAGCCCACTGAACTCGTGGATTCCGAACGTACATATTGTGACTTGGAGGTGATATAGAATCCAGATTCGAATAGAAGTAAACACAATGGAACACGGGTACGAGCTAAGGCAGTTCTGTGGCGGAGAAGTGAGGACGGCGGAGAGGTACTACCAGCACCAGCCACATGGTGAGTCCATAGTACGAAATGTTGGATAGCGCTTTCGTATGTTTCTTTTCAGGCTGCATGTTTATAGATTACAAACAAACACACACACACACACACACACACACACACACACACACACACACACACACACACACACACACACACACACACACACACATTTTATATGTAAATATGTGACATATTCTCCCTATCGAGGTGATCTATAAAGTCGGACACAATGCAAGTATACAAGTGTATTGATATATATATATATATATATATATATATATATATATACATATATATATATATATATATATATATATATATATATATATACATATATATATATATATATATATATATATATATATATATATATATATATATACACAGGTTTTACCAACACCACACACACACACACACACACACACACACACACACACACACACACACACACACACACACACACACACACACACGATACAACACTTATGCTTGCATGCGCTCGAACACCCACTTACACGCACACATCTAGAGTCACTGAGAGTTACCCCTTCCCACCCCCTCCTATCTGGCGAATAATTGCTAGTGTGGTAATAGCCTTTATGAGGGGGCGGGCCATTCACAATGAGCCCGACTTAATTACGCCTCATTTACATCACCAAGATGCCAAGTGGAATGGTAATCAGAGGGAGCAGGTTCGTGATTGCGTTGGGGGTGCTGTGTTTTGGGGGAGGAGGGTTTGGGGGGAGGGGGTTGTGATGCTTCTGTTTTACTACAACTGCTTCTTGTTCCCTGAAGGTACCGGGGTTCACGTGGATGTGGATACTACTTTTTATGAATGGGGGTTCGGGGTCAGCGACTTGAATGGTGCCGATTTGGTTTGTAAGTCATTCTCTGATTGCTCATAGGGCTCATCTCATTTTCCTAAGGTAAAGCTGTCATTCATAGTAAATGTTGTTGGACTTTCCTTTGCGTCACGCAGAATTTCTTGGCTCAAGTCACTGAATATAATAAGATATTTTGTTATAGGCCTTAATGTGGCTGAGGTCTGAACATGTCTCCCCAAGCCATGCTGTCACTCCCACCCATCTTACGTCACGCTCTCGAATGTCAAAAAAAGAAAAAGAAAAAAAAAAAACCTCACACACAAAAGGGAAAGCACCAAGACTGTTTTCAAGCCTGAGTAACTTTTGGAGTTCCCAAAGAAATGTGTGTCTGTTGATTTTTTTTCAGATTTGATTTTTCGGGTCCTGTTTAATCATGTCAGTGCTTCAGCGGCCTCTCCGCTGGGTGAAGATCCATTGTGTACTGTTATTCTTGTCCAGGAAATCAGTACTGAATTAGATTTGGTGAAACTGAGCGGAAATCTTTTCCATTCGTCTCTGCATGTTTTGTTGAGAGGATTCTGTGGTATTTTTATATGACTGTAGACTGTTTTCGTTTTATTTTTTTCTTTACAGGTACAATACTAAAATACCGGTTTTGCTCTAGAGACTTTATCAAATACATTACTAATTATAAAATCTTGCTTCAACCCTAAATAATTCGGCGTCGACATCGATAGGTCATCTACTCAGCAGGTTATGTAATGTTTTCTATTTTTCTTGAAAGAAAACGGTAAATGGTCACAAGCATAGAAAACGAGTAGTTTTTTTCTTCCAGGTCCGGTTTGTTGACGCCACAATAAGTTGACATTCGCCGCCGTGGACATTCCGGAGTGACCTACATAAAGGGACTCGGAGGTTTTTCTTCAGGAAAACACAATTTACTTTGTATCTGGGAAGCCGTTTGCCGATTTCCTTCCTCCATTGATGTTCATTTAGCTGTGTACACAATTTTTTACATAAACTTTCCTATTGCATTTGACTGTTCGTCTACAGAAGTATATGAACATGTATATTGTACACATGATTTACAAAATATTACATTGCATGCCATTCGCCTGAAGAATCATGATTACAGAAGTCAGAAAAAAAAACTTAATAGAAAAGGCTACCTAACTAACCAGTTATAGTTCGCATTAGTTTACTTGAGGGCTTATGTTATACCAGAGCGTCCTATCATTTGCTCAGAAAGGGTGGCGTGTTCTCGGCATGGCGTAGGTCGATGATGCAAACAAGGTGCCCGCCTGTGAATAACTAGAAAGAAATGAACTTTGGACGCTGTAACTTATATATCTAATCGGGTGAAAAAATAAAGGTTGGCCATGAATGATTATTTTAAAATTCCACAACTGTGTGTACAAAAAGAAGGAAAAAATATTTGAATAAAAAGTAACATTCTCGTCTTTGTGACATTTTGACATCATTGCAAAAACGGATCAAGAGAGGTTTATATAATGCTCTTGTAGACCCGCAGAAATTGCATTGTTTATTTTTACGTAAAAGAACATAACTGCGTCGATTACATGGCAACTTTACCTCCTCAGTCCCACTTAACTGACTGCAGATTTATCTACACCACTGTTACAACCGAAGACGAAAATCGGCAACAGTTTCACCAGGACTTTTCGCTTTCGTCAGCTTTTCATGAACACCTTGAGCATTGATCCAAGTGTGCGAAGCTGCCACGTGGCTCTATCCTTTCACACGGCATACTGTCGAGCCTGAAGCGTTGCCGGGAGTTGCCGAACCGAGCTCTTCAGACACCACACCACTTCGTAAAACCGGATTATCTAATATTTCTGATGTAGATTAGTACATAGGTTAAGTTGAAATATCAGTGATTGCTAAACATGAAGATAGTAAGATGAAGGTAGTTTTAACCTTGCAGAGTTATCGAACGACGCCTAGCTAAGGCCCGCCTTTTGTTCGGGGACACAATACGGTGTCATCATCGCTTGGGGGCGCAGACCCAGTGAACATTTTTAGAATCTTACTTCTGTCGACTAAGTTCCTGCAAGAAATATTTCCTGGAGTGATTAATATGCTAAATACAGATTCATTTGGCTTTATTTACTCTACTATTTAAGCTATTATCACTTGTGCAGTCTGCGAGTAGGACTTCTTTCAGATTCATGGTCAGTTCTCTTAACCTACCTTCCTTGCATGATGATTACAAGCAGACGCACCTCTCTTCGCATCTTACAATGGGTGATAGTACAGTCCAACATTCCTTCAGAAAGACTATCAATTACTGTACAATTTAGAAAGGATATTCATTTTCTTCATTTTCTCACAGTTTCAACGTTGATCAACAAGTAGTGTGTTAGTGAATCATGATTATCCTTAGTTTTGAGGAAATTTTTGGTTCTCTGTATATTATACTGTCATACACACCACGAATTTTCTTGCATGAGACTTAGATTATTCAATTGGCGAGAGAATTGGGGATGTTTACTTCTGTGTACATTCTAACCTTAAATCTTTTATATTACTTGAAGAGTTATATAATATAAAAAGCAGGACGAGTAATATTTTAGACACTATAAAGCTCGCCAGTCTCAGGTGAGTCTAATCGGACAATGGACTGGCACTTACCGTGAACACGAGAGCTCAGACCATGAACACATCATCGGAAAGTAAAGTTATGGAAGGGCGGTTTGGTGGTGAGAGGCCAATTGTCTTCGTGATCTCGTCAAAACGCTCACATGTAACCACTTCGTTCGATTGTTTCTGCGAGGTCTTTTATGATATTAAATGGAATAGACGTTTTCTTTTTTTCTTTTTTTCACATAGGCGCATGCTTTCTAATTTTGGGATAAAGGGTATTGAAATATTTCTAGGATTTTCGCATCGGAAAACAAAGTCGCACCAGAGTTGCAAGTAATTGATTCAACACAATACTGGGTTGCCAAACTTTTTACATAGGCCATGGAAAAGGCTTAGTATTATATTCCAACTTAAATGAAAAGCCTAATCGTAGTTACGTGAAGATCACAATACATGAAAAAATACTGCTTAACTTAAAGTTACACTAACAAGTTTAAGAGTAAAGTTTATATATATATATGTAATTGCAGTTATAAACATACTGTTTCAGTATCTGGAAAAGTTAGATGTATGTTGACGCCAGGTGACGATAAAATGATGATGTTTTTACTATCCATAATCGTAACTAAGTCGAATGATTCAAGGAAAAAATAATTTTGCCTCAATAACATAGTAGTTATAGGTTACTGAAAAAGATAATGAAAAGAAAGGAAAGTCTCTCCGCCCGCCACCGCACTCTCCCTCGGGGGCCTGAATCTCTCCTCCAGCCACGTTGAATTCATTATCTTGGTGCATTTGTTACACCGAGAGAGAGGGAGAGCTGAATGCTAATAACAATGCTAATCTCAGGTGTTTTCAATACATGTCAGCGGGGATCCACCTTTTGCAGTGGTGTTCCTTGATTGAGAAGGTATATGCAAGAATTGTTTAGGACGAATGCATCTTTCGAGTGAACATAAAAATGTTATGATATGCCAACAGACACGCTAGAAATTGCCGTTCTTCGAATATACATTGAGCCTGGATTCTGTGACGCCTTAGAACGCATCGTATTTTCTTCCTATATTAAAATACACCGCCATATGTTCGAACTCCACCCCATCACCTTTTCCCTGCAGTCACGTCACCTCTTTATCTCGCGCCCGAGCCTCGTCTTAACCTCCACCCACACACGCGCTTTCTGAGTCCCGGGCCATCCTTTGCACAATCCCTCACGTCGCGCCCCAAACCAGGCATATTTTCTTTGCGATATCAAAAAAAAAGTTCATAACTTTCAACTGGTTGCTGCGACATGACTCAGCATCGCTTGTCTCGCTACAATTAATTTCACCGGACGGTAATTATCACGCTTCCGCCAAAAAAGCATCTGTGGTTCAAGACGTGACAGATCATTGCCTCTGGTCCAGGCGGGGCGTGTGCGCCTAACTTGACACTCCCGTACGTCAGGCCAGTCGCCTGTGTCCTTGTGTGTGTTTGTGTGTGTGTGTGTGTGTGTGTGTGTGTGTGTGTGTGTGTGTGTGTGTGTGTGTGTGTGTGTGTGTGTGTGTGTGTGTGTGTGATGTATTACATGAATGTTTTTGATTG